GCCCCCACCCGCCCCACCTACTCCTTCAGAGACACACACACCATCGCCAGATGCCTGCTGAAAAACCTTTAAAATGCAATGGCCCCCCTCCTGGCCCAGGCCTAGTCCACACAACCAGTGAGAGATGGCAGCCCAGGAGGTGGAATTTGAGGGGAGGGGATGATCAAAGGGGCAAAGGCCTGGCATCTGAGGAAATGAACACCAGTCTCCATTCACAGCAATTTTATTTATATGGATGCAGGAGAAAGCTTACATTTATTTGTAGATAAAAACTGGCTTTAGCTGGGGTTGCAATGCCCTGCCCCTTCTGGACTCGTCTTTCCTGAGAGGCCCCTGGTGGTTCTGGGGTTCCAGAAACTGCACAGACGGTTCTGGGGCCTCGCTCTCCCGGTCCGCTCTGCACTCCCCAGTGGCTGTCCCTTTGGTGTGGGCCGGTGGTGGGCGATTTACACTGCTGTTCTGCAAGGCGTCTCTGTGAGGGTTTGCTTGACAGAGAGAAAGGGACCTTCATGCCTGGGCCGCCAAACTGGTTCCCAGCCAACTCCCTGGCCCTGCGCCCACCCAACCTCTTTTCCTGGGTCCCTTCACCTGGAAAGGGCCTTTCAGCTCCCCCACCCCAGTGGCTCTGTAAGCCAGTTTCCTCAGGGCCCAGCTGCTGCCCCACTGACTTTTCAGGCCCCAGGTCAACTTCAACTTGAGAAAACCAATTGGACAGAATGGAGTCCTTGGAATGAAGCAAAAGGTGGATTTTGAAATTCCATGGTCTCCTAAAAGCCCAAAGACAACGCGAACACTCCTGAGCAGAGATGGGTAGCAGGCAGGGCTGGTGTCTCAGAGGGCTCTGCACTCGGCTTAATGCTCCATCTTGAAATTTTTATGCTTTTTGGACAGGAGGCCCTGCACATTCTGTGCCAGTTCTGGTGGCAGGTTATCAGCCCTCAGGCTCTCAGAGGACACTGCCCCGGGAGGTCCCAGCAGGAAGGAGCTGTCTGGCTGCTCACACTGCAGGGGCTCAAGAGGTGGCCTCCATTGCTATGGGGTGGCCGAAAGACCCCCAGGACAACTTGGGGTTGGGTCCAGGCCTCCTAGCATGTGTGCGGGCACCTGAGTCTCTTCCCACCCCATGCAATCATGCCTACAGGAAACATCGTCTCCTTTGCACCCCCAACTTCTCATCCCCAACTGAACCCCAAAATGGACAGTTCAGAGGCACAAAACTAAGGGGCAGCCCAAACCCAGAATGCTGTTTACCAAACTGGTAGGGAAAAAAAAAATCCAGCACTAATGGCCTCTGTTTTTCAGCTGACTAAGCTTCAGCGTATCATCTGTAAAATGGGTACAGGAACAATAACAGTAACACCTTCCTCACCGGGGCTGCAGAAAAGTACTTTGTAAAGCGCACAGCATGACTCACAGCAGCTTTCATTTCCCACCACCACCTCCAGCTCCTTGCAACTCCCTCAACTCCTGTCCATGCCACTCACTGGGGACCCCTGCTGCCCACACTCCCAGCACTTGGCATACCCACATGTGAGGTGGGGGTCTTTGGTCCGCTCCTTTGGACCCATGGGGTCCACGCGTACTCACGAACTGCCAGGCTGAGGCAGGTGGGCAAAGTGGTCCTTAATTCAGGACACATACTCCCTGGCCAGTTTTCATTAAGCTGCTGGACTTCCTTGTAGCTTCTGGAAGCTGGTGGGTGGGAAGCCCGGACTGCTGCTTGTCAGAGGCTGACAATGCTGTGCCACCACCACTGCCCTGCTCAGTGGGGATGCCAGGCCAGGGGCAGAGGACAAGGGGTCGATTCACGGGCCCCTCACGCCCCAGTGAAAACATCACAACTTGGTCCTGCTTACTACTAGACACAAAGCAAGGTTCTCCAGGACAACACTGGTGACTATGATTTTCTCCCCTCTTTTCTGGAAATCCTTACAAATTGTGCTAAGAAATAATTGAAGTTCAACAAACAAAAAACCCAAAGACAAAGGGATGCAGGCGTTAGGCCCTCAGAGCCTTAACCTCGAATGGAGCCTGAAAGAAGCCCACGCTGAGGCAGTCTGGTGGCACATGGAGCTCGGCCTCTCAGGGCTCCGAATTCTGCAGTGAGGGGGAATCAGAAACTGTCCTTGGCACCAGAGGTGGAGATGGGCATGGCAAGTCTTTGTTAAAACACACCCCCACTTACAGCACCCTCTTAAACCTCTTGCTTCTCAAAATGGGTCGCCGGAGTGTGGGCACTGCCGGGGGCTTGTTAGGAATGCAGATGCCCAGGCTCACCCCAGACCTGCCGAAGATGAATCTGCTTTTTAACAGGACCCCTGGGGGAGGAGGACACTCCAGATCGAGAAGCCCTATTCTCTGTCACACTGGCAAGGGCTGACACCCAGATCCCTTCTCCTCAGTGCACAGGTACAGATGACGCCTGGGACTGCCCGCGCCCAAGGAGCCGCCCGGAGAGCCCATGAGCCCTGCTGGAGTCCCTGCACTGGCCTCTGAGCCTGAGCACCCGCGGGGCTTCCCTGAAGCTACCTCCTGCTGGAGTGTGGCCCTTCTTTCCCAGGTGGTGCAGGCCTGCCCCCCCATGAAAGACACGGGCTGGATATTCTGAGGCCTCCCCAGAAGCCATGGGTTTAGTCAGCCACATCTGGAAAAGAGGGGACCAACACAGAACTACAGGAGACACACACAAGCAAGAAAATCCAAGAAAATGCAGTGACAAGCAAGAAAATCCAGTAAAAATCCAGTTAGGAGAGGCTGTGTGAGCGCCTGATAGAGAGGCTGGGCTGCTGCTCTCTGCTGACCCCAACCTCGCTTCCGGATGCTTCTTGGATTCGGTGGTGTGGTTAAATGCAGTACCTTACTTGATCTGTTTTTTCAAAGGATCCTATGGGGTGAGCGTTATGGACCCCATTTCAGTCGGGGACAATGAGGCTTAGAGAGTCAGTGGCTTGCCTGCACTGCACACTGGGGAGCAGGCAGAGCCAGGATTTAAACGTAAGACTGACCCTTAGACCCTTGTGCTCTGTTCTGCCTCTGGGTTAGAATTCACTTTCCCATCACAAAGGAGGTTACTGTCAGAAGACATTTAGAGTGGTCCCAAGGCTCAGGAGTGCAGAGCAAATCCACAGGAAACACTTTGGGACAACAAAGGAGGCCAAGAATCTCTGAACCTGGAGAGGAGGAGAGGAGGGGTCTCTGGGTCTCTGAGGGGTGGGGGACTGGCTTGTGAATGGGTCCAGGGGAGGTGGCAACATTTGGACAGAGGCAGAGGGCATGGGAGAGGTGGTCACAGAGCATGACCCAGTGCCTTTCCCTCGATACCCTGGACTGGGCTATCCAAGGGCTCCCTCCCTCCCTGCATGGGTCAAGGCCATGGCCTGGCACACAGGGAGAGCTTGGCAGTGGGCAGCCCAAGTTCACCTAGAAGGAAGTCACCTGCAGCCCCAGATGGCGCTTTGTCAGCGTTGGCTGCTTACAAGTCACACACCATCACCCCTACACCACCACATCTCAATGATCCCACTTCATTTATTACCAAAATATCACAGAATTCCAGTCATAGTTCACATACAGTGTTTAACACAAACCTGATACCTGTGGAAAGAACTAAGTATTCGGACAATCGAATGTTTGGAATTGTTAACACCCCAAACCGTTATTACTCTGTACTCCAAAAATACGCTTTGAGAGCTTTGGAAACTGAATTAAAATGTCTACACAGCTATGAACAATTGTTTAATAAAACTTTTTCATGTTTCCATTACATGTAAATATATCAATTTGGCATCTCTATAAAAACTCTGAAAATGGTGCAAAAGTTTCATTCTCTTTGAGAAAGCCATTGACAAAAAATATTCACACTTCACTAAAATTTTGAAAAATGGTCTTCTTTCAAAGCTTCTTTATTAATCTGAAATCTTCTGGGTTATCAAAATCTAGGTTTGCTTTTTCCTCCTAAAACACTAAAGAACATTTATTCACAAGGATAAAAAGGCAAATGGGGAAATGGAAAACTGAGAAGGGCTTTTTTCCCCCCTAAAAATTAAAAAAAAAAAAAAAAAGGCTAGTTCCATAAGCATCCTCAAAATAACACAATGGGATTCATTTTATTGTTGACTTTTGGACAGCAGTGTCATACTTTATTGAAAACAAACCCATGTAAAAACAAAGTTAAAATGAAAAATGGCACCTGAAAATAAATTATTTTATATAAAACAAATCAATAACTTAAAACACACTAATATACAAAATGTCTACTCATCTACTGTACAGCATGGGGACCAGTCAGTAAAGCTCCCCCTCAGAGCGAATCATTGTAAACTGAACGTTACACGGTAGGAGGTGGCCCCAACCAACGGACAAGCCTTCTCTTCCCGCAGAAGTGCATTCCTGTCCTCTCAAAGTCACAGCTCAGACCTTCAGTAGCCTAACGTAGGTCCTGGCAGTGACTTACAAGGACGTTTTCTTTTCTTAAAATGACCCAGCGGAAAAGCTTAACTATGTCACCAAAAGGTTGTGGAAAAAATATACGATACAATCATTAGATGTCAGAGGCAAATTAAAAGGTTTGGAACCTTGAACCCTGACGGAGATTTGGGATTCAGGTTCTCCTGCTATTGTAAGAAAGGGTCAATTATCACTGCCACTCAACAGAAAGCACTTGTGACTTCAGTTGGTGGCTGGCCTGGGAATCTGGTGAATGGGAGAGAGGTACCTCAGGTCCTGGGAAGATGGGAAGAATTTCAGGTGGAGGGCTATGGTGGGGGATGGGGAAAAGAGGCCCTGGGCAGCTTATTCTTATTCCCTTTTACCCAACCCAGGAAGGCTGCAAAAAGCAGGGGGAAAGAAATCAGGCTGAATTCAGATGTGAAATGCAACAGCTGGGTGATGCTAACTCTGATTTTCAAGCCCGATGGCGGACTCGGGTCAGTCAGTGGCCTCAGTCTGGAGGCCAACCAGGACAAGTTATTGCCAGTAATTCATCTACTTGTCTGATCCAACTCAGACACAGGCTCTTACAGCGGACCCTGGATGCTGGGTTTCCAGCACTAACACCAAGTGCAGACTCTCAAAGGTTAAGGCAGCTGCCCTTGGCAAGGGAAAGACTCACCTTCTGAACAAAGAAGGCCGAGCCCACCCAGCACCATCTGCCTATGCAGGAGAATCCCCGTCACAGGACATGCAACCAGAGGACAGCCAGCAGAAAACCACAGCCTGGCACATGGCATCGAAAAGCTAAACAGGGGCAGAGCCAAGGGTAAAAAATGGATAACTCAACCGGAACCAGGTTTGCAAGTTCGGAGCTGCTTAGCAAACAACTGTTAAGGGATGTTACACAGGCCAAAAGAGAGTTTGATCAGAGCCTCTTTGGTATTTATGTACCAAACTAAACTTCTGAGAAATTATCTACTCTTAATTCTTTTTCATCAAAATTCCCAAATAAAAGGAGAGCACTCATTTTGTGAAATACAAATATGATTGATCAGTGCAAAATTTTTTTAAAAAGTTTCTTTTGGATCGTGACTTTTAAAAAAAATGGGATCTTCGTTTTGCAAACAAGTCTAGAGACTATGTAATGAACTTTTCAGACACAGGGCCAGCATCTGGTACCTCAATGGGAGTGACAATTGCTTTTCAGGAGGAACGTGTCAAAAGCGGAATCCTTCCACACACCTGCAAATGGAAACCCCCAAAGAAACACAATGGGGCTTTTGGCTAGAAGGCTGTTCAAAGAGTGGCGACCATATAACACGAGAATTTTACCAAACTGAGAAACTTGAGGCAACTTTCAAAGGCTCATATGTACTTTACATTTCCTTCTCATCTGTGCCAGCAACAGAATAATCAATCTGGTTCAAATAAAAGGGAGGGGAGGGAAGAAGCTGCGGTGCTGGCTGCAAGCCCGCGTCATTTCAGTTTACACTTATGACGATCCCCGCGAGAAACCGAGCACCAGCGAGGGCTGGCCAGGAATGTGTGTCAATGAGATTTTTAAGGGTCGGTTTCGGAAGTGGGAATCTCATCTCTGAGAAGATGCTGGCCCGAGGCTGCACATGCCAAAAGGCATGTTTTTCCAGAAAAACATCCCTGTTCCGGGGTGAGAGCACGCTGTTGCAACACAGCGGGGACCCTCTTTGTGTTCTGGGCTCTAAGGAGGAGGCACATAAGCTGGCTTTGACTTAGGATTTGGAAACTTCTGCTGGAGGGAGGAGGTCCTCCGTGGCACAGGCCAACTTATGAGACAAAGCCTTAAGGTATGCACTTCGCCTTTTGTGGGCAAAGAACACAGCAACATCTTAAATTTGGGAGGATAATGCAAGCAGCTGGCAGCCCCTCAATAAAGTATGAGGGTAATAGGACAGGGACAGGCAGCCTCACATTTTTCAAGGGCTTCTCAGAACACTGATCTGCTCTGGAGAAAGCTGTGCCTATAGGCCATTTTTTTCCACTTAAATAAATAGCTAGATAAATAAACAATGCTACAATTCCATGATATCAATAACTAAAACACAGCCTATCATTATATGTTTTAGTCTCATGTGAAGGTTAAAAACTGCTGGTACTAAGTTATCCTGTTTTTGATTCTCTCTGTACACTAGTTATTTATAAAAATCCAATCACGCTCCTGAGGAGCTGCCCGGAGCTCTGGCCCTGGCTACTTCTCAGGTCCCCTCTACTCTCCCTAACAGCTCCCCGTTTAAAAAAAACACCACCTGTGACTGCACATTCCTACGTCACAGATTTGTAAATGCTTTGTCTTGAGGCAAATATTTGTTCAAGATCTTATATATTTTCCCTGAATGCTGGGCCGTCTGTACCTCACCTAGCCAAAAAGAAAGAAAAGGTAAAATAAAAAACAAAACAAAATTCGAGCAAAACAAAATCAAATTTAATGGTCTTAAATGCAAAAGTAAAAACAAACAAAAAACACAAAAAAGCAAAAGAAAATTAACAGAACAGAACAACCCAAAATGTCAAGGCAGTTATGAAGAGAACTTTGAGGGTTAATCTTTAAAACTACAAATCAAAGGGGGTTTTTTTGTTAATAGATAACTGGCAAGAAGTAAGTACTTTTCTGCTGAGTGTTCATACGAAAGCAAAATTTCAAAACAAAATTTGACTAAAATAGAAAAAGAGTCTAGAGCTCACGAGAAGGGATGCGAGAAATACAATGCTCAAATGTTTCTGTGTTATTAAAAAATAGAGCTATCTTATGCATTCGAGCTATGTTAAATGCTCTTGGAAAGTGGAGAAATGATTGTGAACAGTATCCGGTGTGGGGGGCACCGTGCATGCAATGTGTGGACAGGAATTCGGGATGTCAGAGTAGCAACACATCTTCAGGCGTGCCTGGAGCTTAGATCTGACTCGGGAATATATGGAGTTTCCCTGAAACTCTTTGGTCCGTTCCCATTGGCGCCTGGGCTTATGAAACACGTTCTTGTGTCCTCCTCTGGAGGGCCCGGCCCGGCATGTGGCCCCCCTCTCCCCATGGTGGCCCATGTCGGAAGGGCCCGAGGCCACTGCCAGGACCACTCGGCAGACCCCGGGGCTGAGTGAGCAGGAGGTGGCAATGGGACCTGCTTGGGGAAACAATTTCATGTCAACCAAAGCAGAAATCGCTTAAAATGTTGAAGCGGTTGAGAAAATGCACACTCAGCATCTGTCTAACATCTTTAGTTTAAAAACGAAAACTAAAAGGTCATTTCTATTTTTTTTTTTTATCCAGTTTGAGGAGACACCGAATGAAACAAGTGTTAGACAGTCTCAGAAGTTAAAGCATGCTTCAGTTTCACCACCATCCCGAGGGACTGGTTAGTCAATGCAGTCTACTTAGATTTGTTTAATATATATTTTAAAGGAAATAACTTAAGAAACTTAAAATTGGTCTAACATTGTGGGGTTTCAAACATTTGAACATGTCGGTTGCATCCCAGAGTATAAAAACCTTTTCACTTCTCATTTAGGCTAAGACAAACACTTGTGAAAATTGGCGCAAAATGAGTTGTACACTAACAAAAAAGTTTCAACTTCTTCACTCTGAATTATCTATTCCGTACAAAAAAAGCATGAGCGAGTTATTTGTGGGACTTACTGGTTTTGAAGGAAACCTGTAAGATTTTGTCCCCCAGGCGGTAGCCGTTCAGACTTGCTATGGCCATCGCGGCTTCTTCATAGTTTGTCATGGTCACAAAACCAAAACCTTTGCACTTGTTGGTGTTGAAGTCGCGAATCACTTTCACATTGGTGACTGCGCCAAAGGGGCCAAACATCTGCCAGAGGATTCCCTCATCGGCATCTTGACCAAGGTTGTAGATGAAGATGCACCAGCCTGAAGACGCGTTGCCTGGGACATTGACACCAGAAAGCCCACTCATGTGATCTACACCCATAGGGGAGAACCTAGCAAACAGAGAGCACAGCATTCAGGTCAAGGGCAAAGTCAGTACGGGCCGGCACAACAATCACAGGAGTGGGCGGGGCCGGCTTAGGTCCTTCTCTCTCTCCTCAGCCAAGTATGAGATGCTCAAGGCTGGCACACCCCCGCCAGTCACAAACAGGATTTTTTTTTTTTAACCGAGAGGACTTCAATATGGTGGTGGAGGGAGGGGGTTGACTCTGAGGAGACACATTTGTTGCCTGTAGAGGCTCAGAGCCTCAACCGACCTCACTCAGGGTTATGGCCCATCAGTGGCCTGGACCAGCCACTCCCTCCCATGGTGGGAATCCTGTTAGTCATTCCTTAGCTTCCCACATTTTAAATGATGGAAGCTTCTCCACGTCCTCTGAGGTGCCGTTACACCCTCAGATTGCCCTGGAGACAATGCTTCCACGCAGGTGTGTGTGTGTGTGTTGAGGCCTGGGTGTTTTTCTTCTCTTTTCCCACATTTTGTCTCCATCTCCAGGGTTCACAGCCAAGCAGTATCTGGTTACAGCATGTCCCTGTGAAGGGAACAAGTAATTCCTTCCCAAAGCTCTGGGCATCCTTCTGTTGCAGAAGGGCCAGGGGCTGAACTGAGGGCTGTGACCTGCAAGGTCACCGAGTTTTCCCAAAAATGTGGGACCCTTTCCAAGGTGACACTTTTAGTAACATCGAAACTAAGCCTTCTACCAATGTGTGGCCATTGCAGTAAGGATTAAAGGAGATGATAAATTGTTACCGAAGACACGTGGCCCTCTAGATGGTTCACAGATTAAAAAGTCACAGTCTTAGAGTCAATTTCAGAATATTTGAGCATGACACAGCATCTGTGAAGCTACACAATACAAATGGAGAAGTGTTACCTGCTCCAAAATAAAATTGGGCTTTGAGCTATGGGGATGATTCAGGGGTAAGTGGGTGCCATCAAGGGACATTAAACAAATTCACTCTCTTTACAGACATGACCCCAGACAGCAGGGCCAGACCACAAAGTGCAGCCCACGGACCCAGGGGTTGTGTTCAACACAGATATGGAAGAATCAAGATACATTATTGACCATGGTTTTGACTTCGAGAGAATAATTTTAAACAGCCCACACCAAATGTCTGAGTTGGTGAAATGATTCAGATGGCTTGTCAGTGGTCCTGAGTCTGTATGGGATGACAGTGAGACTACAATTGAAATGGGGGTGGGGGGGTGGGAGTGGGTTGAGGCACCCAAGTATCTGTATGACATTAAGCCCAGACAGTTTTCATTGAGAACTGGAAAGGGTTTCAGACTTTTAAAAGGACCTCATTTCCTCCAAGTTTTATAGGATACCAAATATGGACCTGAGTTATTATAGTTAACCTAACTCTTTATGTAACTATTATACTGCAAATAATCCGAAGTAATATTTTACTGCCTTTCATTGACATGATTCTCATTCTTATTAATTAATGTTAGCTGGTTTTTCTCTAGCTAATTGGAACTGATTTCTTTCATCTTGAACATCAGGAAACCTGCCTCTGATTCTTTCCTCTAATGGTACAAAAGGAGAACTGACCCTGCCTTTACCTGGGGGCTCTTCCAATGTGAAAGAAACTGCCGGCAAACGGTCTCTTCTGGGTTTCTCTTTCTTATTCTTATCTTGGTCTGCCTTCCGGTGGTGAGTCTTCCCTTTTGCTTCTCCCACCTGCCACTTCCTCCCATCTCTTTTCGTGATCTCTTTCCTGTCTGACCAGCAGATCTGCTCCTCTGGTCTCTTCTTTCTTTTCTATTCCTCATTGCTGTGAACAGGGTCCCCTTCTCCTCCTCCAGCCTTCCCTGATTTTCCAGAGTTATTGAGTAACTCAATGAACACTGCCATCCATACATCCCACCCGATTAGCAGGCAGGTGGACTGTGTTATCTGACTTCCATAACTGTATTTAGCTCGCTTCTGTCCAAAGACACTCCCCCTGCCTTTGTCTTTTAACTAGAAGAGCCAGATTTGGAACCTGATCTAGTTGAGAACTCTGGATTACCAGGCCGTGAAAACGATACCTCACTAAATGGCCTCTGTGGAAATGGGCGGGGTTTTACCCAACCTCACTGCCTAAAACAAAGATGGGAAGCCTGACAAGTTGCAGAGAAAAACCCTTAACATACCTGAATAAGCCCTAATGCCACTTCTTGAGGTTGACAAAAAAAAAAAAAAGCCCCCTAAATTGAGATCTCCATGATTTGTGAGGTGGTAACACACCTGATTTTGGAGTCCAAGTTACTGACTCAAATCGTCCCTATTATAATAGATCCTGGCAACTAGAATCATTTTCAACATGGAAAGACTAAGGAATGTGGGGAAACTGTTCATCTCTAGGATAGAAGACATACAGTATTGAGATGCCAAAATAACTCTACAAGGTAGGTAGGTGTATGAGAACGGGTTGCTCTAGGGCTCCTGGTCAAATGTCTAAAACCCATTTAAAAACTCTGGAAGGAGAAGAGCTCTCACTTAAGCATACCTAAGGCTGCATCTTCTATCTCACAGATGTGGAATTATCTTTTAAACTCATGGTTCCACCTTGCTGTCACTAGAAACCATAGGCTGGAAAGCTATGCACTCACTTTCCCAGTAGCTGGCGGGAGCTGGCACCATCTTTTTTATTCCAATTAAAGATAACACTCGGATGGAAAGACATGGCTTTCATACAGATACCTTTGTGAGGAAGGTAGGGAGATGGAGACATGAAATGATTCTGAGTGCACCCTTCTGACGTGATAAGCCTAGCATGCCCAGCGCCTCCCGCTGAGTGTGATTACCTAGCCAGAAGGGCTCTGCACAGCTTTAGACGCACGGCCAGCCATAGTGGGGAAAGGCTTGGCAGGTAGGTGAGTGCACCGCCCTTCTCACCCACCTGAATCTCTGCGCTTGGTGATGAACGGGGCCTCCGAACCGTCTAGCGGGCGAGTGGTACAGCTGGGAGAGCAGTGCCACGTTTTTGTTCTGGTTGGGATTGGCTGCGAACTTCACTGTAATGGGCTCGGAGGAACCTGGGGGTTTATGACCATTGAAACTGGTAATTGCCTCTTCTGCCTCCGACCGTTTGTCAAACCGGATAAACGCAACCCCTCTGGACAAACCTTTTTAACAAACCAACAAAAATAGAGTTAGGGGAAAAAATACAAGGATTTTTTAAAACTGAAAAGCAAAAATCAAGTCAGTCAGTCTATTGTGGCTCAAACTGGATGTTCGGTTAATGAAAAAACAAAAATTAAATCTAAATATGGAAACAAATGAACGAATTAAATAAAATAATGACTAATAAAAGATTCAGGTTTCAGGCTTTCTTCTGAGTTTCTTGGTGCCAAAAGGTATTTTGGGGACAGACAATCTAAACAGATACCCCAGAACCTCTTTCTCAAAAGAAGCCACATTAGAAGTGATTACCTCTTCCGTCACTATTTCAACGCCAGGTGCCCACTGCAGCATGGTTGCCAGGACGTGCTGAAGGTGGCAACCAGGGCTGGGTCTGAGGAATTCTCCCTGGACCCTGGGCCCTTCCTCCTAGCATGTCTGAGGAGCAGCTGTGCCTGAGGGCCTGCTGTGAACAAGGAGCGATGGTGGCCTCATAGCCCAGCGGGGCCTGCGCAGCCTGCTGCCTGCCCAGCTGGCCCGAGAGTCCCTGAGAGTTATGTGGTGCCCAGCTCAGCCTTCTCCTTCATCCTAGGAGGGCATGGAGTCCCAGTAACCAAGACTCACCCTGACAGCTCTTTCCTGCTGCCATCACCTCACTCACCACTGTAAGGTTCCAGGACCTCCTCAGAATCATGCCCTCAGAATCATGTGAAGTCACTCTTTCTTTCCTCCAAAACTGCCCAGGCACACACAACAGTGCTGACAGCCCCCCAACAGGCCCCCTGGCAGATTAAGAGTCCCTGCGTTGGGCCCGCTCCATACCTGGTCTTGTTACTGAGTGGGAAGGGCCAGAGCCCTGTCATGGCCTCCAGCTGCCTCAGGAGGGCACCTTTTCTTGCTACCTAAACCAAGGCGGCTGTAGGTAAGCCCTGAGTCCCCTGACAGCAGGAACGTGGCCCAGGACCAGGGTGCTTCAAACCCAACACCCAACTGCTAAAGGCAGTGTCTGATCAGTTGGGATGAGTGTAAGACCCAAGCAAACCAGGTGGGAGAGGACTCAGCCACCCCCACCCCCATCTATCCATATTCTGGGCCTTGGGGGATGATGAGGAGACCTTGGCCCTTGAAGAACTCAAGGAATGGGGTGAGGATGGGGGGAGGGGATGCAGAGCCCCGGAAGAGCCTGGCTCCTTCTCCTGAGAAGAAACAGGAGGTCACAAGTATGAAGGTCCAAGTGTAGTGGAGAGGTGATGGCGAGGGCCAGTCTGAGGGTGACATCACTGGGCTAGAGTCACGGGTGGGGTGTAACTGGTAGGGTGGCTGTGGTAGACAGCCCTATCCTACTCTTGTCTCGCCTGCCAGTCACAGGCTGTCATAAGTCACATACTCTTCTCTAGACAAAGGCCTTCAGCACTCGGTGAATGAAAACTATCAAAGCAGGACAGCCCAGGACCTTGGGCCACGCTGGACATCCCCATTCAGCTTCCAAATTCCAGCACCTTTCCTCACCATTTCCCACAAGGTCCCACCAATTGCCCCCATGATGGGCATGGGACATGGGTCTCCCCAGCTGGCTCACAGGCCACAGAGGTGCATGGAGAGATTCAGATACATCAGTGGGGTGCTGAGATGACAAGTGTCACTGCAAGGCACGGTCGCCCCCTCTGGGCCTAGAATCCCACATTTGGGCCTGACTTCGGTGTGACACTGTGGGCCGCAGTCAAGCACACAGACCCTTGGGCTAAGGATTCTTTGTTTACAACTGTAACAGGCCATGGACATCCCATGCTGGGCCCTAAAGCACACATCCCAACTCTCCAAATGGGAAGCTCCCGGTCCCAGGCAAACCCCTACCCTGCCCTAGCATAGCACCCTGGGAAATTGCACAGCAGCTCCTAGCGGCCTCAAGGGTGCCCCCACCCTGGTTCCATGATTCTAATTTAAATATAAATTTAAAATTCACACAGCCAGAGACACTCACTGAATTAGTGAGATATGACCTAGCAATTCACATGTGTGCCAGGAAATTCTAGAACTTGAACTTATTTTTCAAGTTCAGTTCAGAAGAATAACTGAAAACGCTGTTTTTATTTCCTCTTAAACGGCACGAATGGCAGCTTAGACACGTGAAAGTCAGAATGAAGCCTATATTCAGGCCCACACGACAGGAAGCTGGGACTAGCTGGCTCCCATGGAAGCTGCCTGCAGGGGACTGTCTCACTCCATTCATACAGACCTTGCGATCATACAGAGAAGTATGTGCCAGTGCGGTTTCCATTTGGTTTTGTAAAATGACTTTCCAGTGAAAACTGCCAAAGTGCAATGAAGAAAACCCAAGGAAGGGAAAGAGAATGTTATTGGGTCGTCGGAAAAGTCATGAAATATTTTTTCTGTTTTTCGTTGCAAAAATGCGTCATGACTTTTCCAACAACCCAATATTTAACATGAGGGAATGTAAATTGACTAAATTATTTAGTGAATGTATATTTTTCGAAGATGGCTCTGTGTTTTTCAGAATTAAGATCAGAGACCGATAAATGGCACAATCTCCAAATGAGTCAACTATGAAGTTCATAATCAGAATGGATAAAGAAGCAAAGAAATTTTAAAAAATTAAGTACCATCAGCTCAGGATATCAAGGTTTCTTAAGAGAGCTTCCCCATTTCTTCCACACTAAAGAGCACATCATATGAAGGCAAACCCAATATGCAAACTTGCCTGCCATGCCGTTCTCTGCCCCGGCCACCCGTGGACTCCATGTGGTCCCAACAGAGGGGCCCTGAGCAGGTGGCCTCCTCTGGAGCAGAGGAAGAAGGGAAGCCAACAGCCCCAGGGGGCTCACCTTTCCACTTTCTAATTCTACACCTCGGGTCAGGAAGCAGGGCTGGGGGAGGGAGCCTCTGGGAGCCCCCTCATCTCTCCCTTTCCTCCACCTCCCTCCTGCCCTCCTGCAAGGATTCTCAGACAGACAGAGGTGTGGGGTGGAGGGCCCCAGTCCCTTCACTGAAGTGGCAGAGGCTGGCAGGGAGGCCTGAGGGAGAGTGAGAGTCCTGTGAACCACCCTAAGGTCACAGCTGAGCCTGGGGGCAACCCTGAAGGGCCCCAATACTCTAGGAGATAGAAGCCTTGCAGAGGGACAGGAGGCAAAATCCCTGGCAAATGGCTGAGGGGAGCTATCTACAGAAGTGCCCTCCCTTGGGATGGTGTGTACAAAAGCTAGGTGGCAGGGAGGTGTGTTCTCGAAGTGGCTGGGCTCCAACTACAGAGAGCTGGGCTCCATTTGGCAGAGGCAAAGCAGTCCCAGTGCAATTTAGAAAAGCAGGGCCATGGAGATAGGATGTGGGCCAGCACAGTCACCACCTCTGGGTCCCTGGGCAGCCTACTTGACGCTCCCACGCAGGCGGGACTGGGAATAAAATGTGCACTGACCAGCTGACCACATCGTTCTCTCAATTGGCATTTGAAGATAAGTAAGGGGGCTTTAGGGAGCACAGGAAACTATTCTGGTGCCGGTCAGGGTGGTTTATACCAAGTACATGGTGTCCTCACCCCACCGCCTGCCCCAGAGTGACGGGGTAGACTGAAGGAGGCGGTATGGGTGGGGTAGGGTCCATGTTCCTCCAGCACAGCCTGGTGTCGGAACAGGTGCCTGCACCAGGCTACAGGGTACCCAGAACTCCCAAGAAATGCCAGTGTCCTGTGCCTTTGGACTACACTCCATAAGCTCCTTCTTCTCAGGCCCCTGGGGGATGCAAGCTGTCCGCTCCTCTCAAGGTCAGGCCCCAGCATGTACCAATCTGAGCTTCCACAGCTGGGGCAGAAGGGAGAGCTGGTGACAAGGCTGCCTTCCCCAGGCCACACAGCTCGGGGCAGGGTGGGGTGGGGTGGAAAAATGTTGTGCCCCCGCCCACCTGGTCTCTGGGGTCTGTTCTGCAGAGGGGAGGTCACCTCGGAGCTGTCACTTCCTGAGACCTAACTACTCAGTGTTAGTTTTAATACCACAGCCAAGGGGTGGGTGACCTCAATGTGGGAAGAACATAAAAATCGACCGTAGACAATTCCATCGGCTTCACTGAGCTCCGTGGGGAAGAAGCTCCCTTGCTAGTTTGTTAGATTTCTACTCCTGGTGAAGACAGGAGCGAGGATTTCTAAAGTGGGCGTGGCCCAAGCTCACCGCTTCCCAGACGGAGCCCTGCACAGGGCTTGACGGGATGTCCTGACCCTGGTCCTCAGCCAGCAGGGCAATTCGGGCCACGGTCAGGGCCAGAACCCAGCCTCCTTCCCGCCTGCTTGCCTGGGGCTGCTTCCAGGGGTGTGTGGACCCTCATCTCAGTTATGACTGGCTGCTTCATGCAAATCCCAGAGCCTAAGCAGCTAATGAATGTCCTGAACTATGACTTGAGAGGGGCTGGGATGGTCAGCAAGAGGAATTCACCGCCTTTGAGCTCTGTGAGCTTTGGATGTGCTATTCGAAGTGGGGCATCTAAATAATCAGAAACAGTCACCCCTGTAGCTTTGGGCAATGAAAAGCACTCTGGGCCATGAGTAAAGACTGTAACATTGCATACCGTCTGCCTGCAATACGAACAGGAGCAAACCCTTGAACCCTGTTCACAGGCCAGGCTGGGACATTTGGGGGCCTATAGGAAGGTGCCATAATGTCTTGGTATTTTCACATAAAATGCCAGCTGGACACAGGGGCTGCTTTCATGTCACTTTACCTCCCAGACTCATAAAACGAACGCCAATGTCATCTCATTTCGATTCCGCCCTCATTGGTGGAACAACTAATGACATTTAGAAGCAAACGTGATCTGTCTTCCCTGGGAAACCTGGTCCCAGCCTAGAGGAAAACCTCACTGCGTGCCAAGGCCACCCCTGTACCTGTGGTCTGGTCCACAAGGACCCGGGAGTTGATGATTCGCCCAAACCGAGAGAACATGTCCTCCACGTCCTTCTGGGTCATGGTCCTGGGGAGCCCGCTGATGTACAGGTTGGCATCTTTGATGACCTCTGAGCTTGGGCGAGCATACGACACCTTGAAAACAAAACCACTTTCTGAGGTTAGGGCAGGTGTATGGTTAATCATCGAGGGAGGGTGTTACATTTGGGGGTGAGAAAAAGCCAGCCTCTGGTTAGAGATCACACAAACACTCATCCCCTATGGTAGCACGTGCTGGCAGCTCCCCATGGGCCAAGCAGTAGGCTGACACCCAGCAGCATTTTCTCACCTGGCCCTCACATCCCAGTGAGGACAACATAGGGCCCACAGCCAGTTGGTGGAGGGCAGAGACCCAACCTTGCTACCTGTCCTCCTACCACAGCCTTATGCCTCTCTTCACGATGAGCTGGGCTGGGAATAGGACCTGGTCCTGCATGAGGAGCCCGAGGGCTGGTGGGCAAGAGAGCTGGGTGCTGCTAGGAGTTCAATACCCGCTTACCAACAGGCAAGCTCACTATGGGAGCCCGATGGGGCCCACGAATACTGGAGGAGCCCTGAGTTCCACATTCAACTGTTCAGTATTAAACGACTCCAGGCCATCTGGGCTTATGTTTTACACTCAAAGAAAGCCTGAAAGGCTTCTGTAATGGCTTAGATAAAATGGCACATGTGTGGGCTAGAGGTGGCGAGGGAAGCTGCAAGGGCTAATGAGAAGGAAAGGTCTTTGGTGCTTTCCCAGGTTGCGGTGACAGCTGTGTGGACACCGCAGGCCAGAAGGAAGGATGGGGCCAAGGCCCACTCATGCTAGGTAGGGGCAGCTGGGAGAAAGCCCTCTTGCCCACAAAGGGGCAACCTGGGTAGTGGGACCCAGTCACACCCCACGGATCAGAACCAAGTCAGGAGGCTGGGAGATAAGAGTGGGAGGAGGCAGAGCACAGTGTGCTCTGGAAGGTGGGGACTGGGACCTGTGCAGAACTTGCTCGCAGAGGGTCACAAAACTGGTGTGATGAGGAGCCTGAGATCATAACATAGGAGCAAACACGACCTCCTGGTATCATTGGGCAGCACGAGAGCATGGACTATGGGTATGTTCGCACCACAATGCTCAGGCCTGCCAGGAAGGGAGGGGTGCGGTTCTATGTGCCAAGAACATACACACCTGGCTCTGTGAGGTCCCAGAATTTGTCTGATTTGTTCACTGTCTGGAACATAGTAGGTGCTCCATGAATATTTGCTAAATGAATGCTGAATGAACTGGCTGTGATGGGACAAGAAAGGCAATGCTGCTGATGTCACCACAACAAGCCAAGCATGAGCAGGGCGGAGGGAGTGGGAGCAGGGACTGCATGAGGATGGGAATGTCATATCTGGTAAATGAGACAGGCGGGGAGGCCTACGGAGGCTGCCTGTGAGCTGACGCACCCAGGGATACCCTGGGCCGGGGAGGGGGCCGTCCCTTCATGGGGACCTTCCCTTTACTGGTGGGGCCGAGGAAGCCATGAGCCATGACGTGAGGCCTGGGACAGTCACCACCCAACACACATCTGACATGCAATGCCTCACCTGGAGCAGACAGGAGGTTCCCCAGATGCCCTGGAAGCACTAGCGTGCTAATGGTGCCCTTGACAGACCCCAGCCTAGGACAGGAATGAATGAGGTGGTGCTCACCACTCTTTACCTTAATGGTTTTGGACTGGAGCCGCAGGCCGTTCAGCGTGTTTATTGCCCTCTCCGCATCCTTTGCAGTCACGTAATTCACAAAGCCATAGCCCAAGCTGTGTCCTGTGGGAGAACACGTGCACACTGGTAAACCAACCAAGAGAGACCGAGAGAGAGTCAGAAGATGAACAGGGCTATGTCTGACTGGGCTCAAAAGGACAAGGTCAGAGAAAAGACAAATACCAGGAACCAGGACCTGGGGAAGTGGGATTAGAGATCCATAGTTACAATCCATATCACTGGTTTCTTTGTTAAATTTCTTTGGCAACCTTGTAAAATTTCTGCAAAGAACAAATATGACTTTTGTAATTAAAAAGTTATTTAAAAAGAAACATTGTGCTACTGACTGCATCCTGGGGAACCCGTCACCAAAGCAATGACAATGACTGGTCCCACCGGTGGTGGCCATTCTGTGGGGTTCAGAGGGGGCCTGAGTCTGGGATGGGGAGGAGGATGGTCACAAGTGGCAGACAGGCAGATGGGGAGAGCCCAATGATGGAGGATCAGCTATCTCTCCACTTTCAACCTGAGCAGCAAGGCTTGCTGGGCTCTGGCGCCACCCAGCGTCGGTTCCTCTTATTCTCTCAAACCAGCACCCCAGCTGGGGAGCACAGGGGAGGCCAGTACTGACAGAAGTCCCAGTGCCGCAGGGAAGGCGGGCCAGCAGCCCCTGTCCTGCCTTCACTACCCTGGCCAAGCTTCCAGGGCTCCCCTTGGCAGTGGCGTCCGCTGTGATGGCATCATCGGCTGAAGTGTGGGGGAGTTGTAAGGGATGTGAAAACCTGAGTTCTTCCCAAAGAAAACCAAGGTTACAGGTAGTGTTGTCCCTGCCCCCGCCCCTCCTTTGTGAAACTTTTAGAAGTGGTGGGAGCAACCACCAAATGGATATCCCGGAGGAACTCAGCACAGCAGGCGGAGGGCTGTGGGTTCCCAGGAGGCCAGAGAGGAGCAAAGACTGAGGGTGAGAGGTGGAAGAAGCCCCCCACCTTCACTGTAGGGGAGGGACAGGAGGAGGCACAGAAGAGAACCAGCAACGTGCCTGCATCTGACCCATGCACCTGCCACATTAGGGGGCAGGCACCCACAGTGCGTCAGGCACTGCTCTGGGCAGAGACAGAGCTGTGCGTGAGACCAAGGCCCACCCTCACCAAGCTTTGTTGGCAGAGGGTGACAATGAGCAGGTAAAAACCATGACCCGGCCTTGAGTCACAAGGTGAAGACAGACCCTCACAGCAGCTGGGCCGGCTCAGCCCAGGGTGCCAGAGGAACCCAGACCCATCTCGGTGATAATGAGATCCAGAACCCAGAGAACAGCCTAGCCCAGTTTCGCCACTTAAAAAAGCAAAACTTTATTTTTTAGATTTAAAGACAAATTACAAAGATAATACAAAGCTCCTATATACCCCACACGCAGCTTCCCATTAGTAACACCTTACACTAGAATGGATGGAAATGAACCAGCAGTGACACTATGAAATGCAGTCTACACTTGATTCCAATTGCCTTAGTAGTCCCCTAATGTCCTTTTCTGTCCCGGGATGCCATCCAGGATCCCATGTGACATTTCATCACGTCTCTTTAGACTCCTCTTGGCAGAGACAGCTTCTCAGACTTCCTTGCTTGCGATGATTTTGACAGTTTTGAAGAGGGCTGGTCAGGAATGTTGTAGAATCCCCCTCAATCTGGATCCGTTAGATGTTTTTCCTCACAGGTTCAGGTTATGGATTTTGGGAGGAAGATCAACCAGAGCACAGTGCCCTTCTCATGGCATCGTATCAGGTGTTCATGATGTGTGAACACCTGTCAGTGTGACTTATCACTGTTGATGTTGACCGAGAGTTGGTTTGGCAGGTTTCTTCTCCACTGTAAGGTCACCCCCTCCCTGTGACCCACACTGTAGGCTTTGGAAGGAAGTCACTGTGCAGCCCACACTTAAGGAGAATTCCACCGTCTCCTTCAGGGCTCTCCCTCCTTCCGGAGGGAGTAGCTATATAAATTATGTGCAATTCTGAGCAGCTACTTTCATTTTTAAAGAAACAAAAACAAAACCTGACCCTCCAGACCCATATTTCTAACAAAACCCCACGGGTCTCAGAGACTCGGTTCCTGAGCTCTGGACAGTGAGAACCCCAGAGAGCAGGGTTGTGGGGCCTAAATCCATCCAGTAGGAGAGTAATACTTGCAGCTCAGAAAACCAGTTGGTGCCAGGTCAGGGATTTAAAAGGTCCTTGCCAACAGTCCAGACCACAAATGTGAGCTGAGAATGCAGAAGGTCTGTGGTATGAACTCCTGGCCAAACTCCCTCCTGGCTGAGATTTTACCCCAAACGCTTGCTCTTCAACCCCGCTCCATCCATCTCTCACCGTGCTCAGGCCAAGGGGCCTGTCCAGTCTAGCCCAGCCCTAGATGGGCTCCTCTGCCTCTCTGTGATTGGCACCACCCATATTCGGGTCTCCTTAAGGCCAATCCCTACCCTGGACCATCTATCTCTGTTGCAGGTGCCTCAGATGCTCTAAGCACCGCTGAGGAAACCAGACACCCATGAGGACTCACTCCAGGCTCTGTTCCTGTATCTTCAGCTGCAGCTGCTTCCTCTTGGCATATAAACATAGGCTTGTCCCACCCTAGTGCCCACTGGCCCTGGCTGACCCCTCCAGGGTGGTCACAGCTGACTGCCAGCACCGCCCTCACCAAGGCCATCCATGACCCTGTGGTGCTGCCCCACAGGCAGTTTCAGGGTACAGCTCCCTAAGCTCTCAGCAGTGCCCAGTGCTGACCAGCTTGAGATGCCACCTCCTCCAGGATGTGACAATAATGCCAGGTTTTTCTCTTCAGCTGTCCCTCCTCAGGCTTGTCCTCTGCTCATTTCAAGACGGTCCACAGGGTTCTACCTTTGGTCCTTGTTTCCATCATACACTCTTTCTGGGTGACCTCTGACCACCTGTGTGCTCACACCTGCCAATGTCACTTAGGAAGTCACATACTCTCAGATGGCCACTGCCTCCCTTCCCTGGTCCTGCCCTCACTCCACATCTCAATTCGCCCACACGTTAACTGAGCACCTAGTACGTGTCAGATCCTGGGCCAGGTTGGATGGTGGGGGAGGGGGCTGGGGTTGGTGATGATCACAAAGGCGCAAGCTCGTGCCCTAATGAAACTCACATCCCAGTGGGCAAGTTGGACAACAAACCAGCAAGCAAGGAATGAACAAAGCCACTACACAGGTGCTATGAGGAGAATCCTTCTGTGGTGAGAGACTGGCAGGATGGGCCCACAGCAGACTGTGCAGCCAGGAGCGTCCTTTGAGGTGATATCTGCAGCAAGACTTCAGGATGGCTGGAGGTGAACATTCCAGACAGAAGAGCAAGTACCAGGTCTGAGGCAAAGACAACTAGTACGTTCCAGGAAATGAAAGGCAGCCAGCACGGCTGGACGATGGGGGAATGGGCCAGCGGTGGCTGTTGCGTGGAGAGTGGACGCAGTGGGCTGAGCGGGCAGGGCCCTGTGGGGAGTCTGTGAGCTTGACCAGGTGTGAGATGAGGGTGGTGTGCACCCGGAGTGGGCAGCGGAAGGAAGAGCCAGAGGGGCCAATGTGGAAGGGAGCTCCAGGGAGCGGCTCCTCTGCCAGCACTCCTGGGCTGGGCTGGGCCTTCTGGGGGCTGGGACTATGTGGGGCGGGATCTCTGCGTACCCCCACCCCCAGGGCTGGCTCTGTCCCCTCAGTCTGTTCCACCCTCCGTGGTGGGCACCTGTGTGCAGTAGAAGGGAAGGCCGGGGAGGAACAAAGGGGAGCCCCTGGTTTTCACCCAGTTGATGAGGCCACAGGCCAAAGTGCTTACCCACAGTGCTGAGCACCCACCTCCACCCTTTCATCACGCTCACCTTTGGCTGCCCATTAGGATCACCAGGGCAGCTACTTAATGATGACTGCTCAGGCCACATCCCAGAACAATGAAACTGAAATGGAGGTGGGGAGGTGCAGGAATGGGGGTGGCAGGATTCCACTGTGCTCAGATTGAGAGGCGATGCTGGAAGTGCATATGGGGAGCCCCAGACAGGGGGGCTCCCCACGGTTATACAGAGGAATCCCAGGCGCCTGGGAGAAGGCCCTCAATTCCCAAAGCAATCCCCAAGTTACTGTTTCTCTATTAGGATCCACAAGCTATGTGGGTAATGACGCAGCCCAGGGACCCAGGATGTCAGGCAGGCGTGGAAATCTACACTTCTAAGATCCTTACAATGGTTCTCCAGCCCCCTAGAGCCAGTGAGCCTGCTAGATTCAGGGCCACGAAGGCAGGTCAGGTGCTCCCCCTTCCCCTTTTTGGTGATAGAAGACTAGCCCCAAATGAGGGAAGCCTGAGACCTGGCCCTGAGGTCTGGCGGGGGAGCAGGGGTACTCAGGGGCAGAGCTCTGGCAGGGCAAGGATCCTGCACAGGCTGCTGGGGCTTGAGGAGGGCAGGGCCTGCCTGGAGTCAGGGCTGGGGGATGGGGACCACCAGGTCGGGGAGAGGGGAGGGGCAGAAGATGAGGGAAAGAAAGAGAAGAGGGAGGAGGGACAGGGATAAAGCACAAATAAACCCTGAGTCTGATGGCAAGGGATGTCCCAGAAGCTGGCACTGCCCCCAGTTCTCACTTCCCCACCGTGTAGGAGGCATGGCCACATCGCCTTCTGGCCACAGGCCGGTCCTTCTCAGTTCTGGTTCTCTGACTTGCCTCGACCACAGCATTGCCATCCCTCCAGGAAGGTTAAACCACAGATGTTCAAACACCTGGCCTGGCTGATTCAGTCGGTCTAGGTGGGGCCCGGGACTTGTGTTTTCTTCCCATAGTAGCCAGGTGCTGCTGCTGGCAGGGGCCAGCAGCCCAAGAGCCGCTGCCTGGAGAAAAGTAAGGCTGCTTCAACGAGGAGCACTCTTCACACCCTGTCGGGCAACCCTGGACCAGTGCTCTTCCATTTCCAAACATACTTCCTCTCTCTCTGGGTGAGGGTTAAAACCAAGAGCTGATTCCATAGCATCTCATCGTATGTTTACAGACCAGAGCAGCCAGATGTACTGTTTTA